ACAGCAGCCCCTTACTCGTTCTTTCTTTTTTAAATAGAAAAGAAAAGAAGTATCCCCCCTTTAAATGTGCAGCTCTGGTAGCACATTATTTGAACATCTTTTTTTTTTTTTTTAAAGATTTATTTATTTATTATGTATACAGAAGAGGGCACCAGATCCCATTACAGATGGTTGTGAGCCACCATGTGGTTGCTGGGAATTGAACTCAGGACCTCTGGAAGAGCAGTCAGTGCTCTTAACCTCTGAGCCATCTCTCCAGCCCTATTTGAACATCTTAAATCACTTTTTCTTTGTTTCCTCCAGGGACTTCAACAAGTCAATAAAGGTGACTGCATTTCTAGAGCTGGCACGACAGTTTCATTTAAGCCTGAGTTTTCGTAGGTGTTAGGAAAATGTATTCTTATCAATTCTTTTTAGGAATAAACCATTTTCAAGGGATGCTCAGCATGCACACATTCAAAACCTTGCTTGAAAAGTGATTTAGCATGCCTGCTGGACATTCTCAGCTGAACAACATCAATTTTCTACCCTCTGTGGTTGGAACTCAAGCACTAATAAACACTGTAGTCTGAAAACGTAAGGGTATGTCGAACCTGGGCTTAGCTTGCATCTTGTGAAAGGAGAATTGTTTCTGCTAATTTCTTTCTTCTTCCTGTGTCTCGGGTTTGAACTAAGGTATGAAATAAAGTAGGAGAGCTGATGTTTGCACTGACATTTCAACAGAAAAAGGGGAGGGTTTGTGTTCACTCTACTTGCTGATTAGTGTGTCTTAGACCTCCGCCAGGCTGATGACTTCCGGACTTCCTAAATTGTGTAAATGGCCTGTAGAACATGGAAGCACACTATATTATCATTTAAGCCATGTTTTTATTGACTATATATTTTACTACTGTTTGCATTTAAAGGATGCATACATTAAAATATAAACAGCTTTCCAGAGTAGCACCTGCTGGCTGTGGAGGATGGTCCTAGCAGTTATTGCTAGTCCAGTGTGCCTTCCCAATAGACCAGCTGTGGGTTCAGTATGTTCTTGGTGGTTTGCTTGGTGTAGTCTTTTTGCTTTTCCTGTGGAGACCAGGCACTCTGGCTCTGGAATATCTATCTGCATTGAGACTTTCATTGTTTTCCATTTGTGACTGGGCCTCCTTGGCTTGGTGGCTGACAGAAACTTATTTTCTGGATTACTGACACTAGGTGCCCTGCTTTTCTGCTTGACAGCCTATGTGGTGATACATTGTGTACTCCAATAAAGTTCACCTGGGGATCAGAGGACAGAACCAGCCACTAAATTAGACATAGAGGTCAGTCACTGGTGGCACACACCTTTAATCCCAGGAAGTAATATGGCAGGACACAGAAAGGTATATAAGGTGTGAGGAAATAGGAATGCTCTCTGTGGAGGCTGAGGATTTTGTAGAGGTAAGCTAGTGGCTGGCTGTTCTGCTTCTCTGATCTTTCAGCTTTCACCCCAATATCTAGTTCCAGGTTTTTTTATTATAAGACCTTTTAAGATTCATGTTACAAGCCTATCTTGATTCTGTTCTTTAGAAAGTCTCTGGAGATCCCAGCATTCCCATCAGAACTGAGAAGCCTCTGGTCTCTTTCTTTTTCCATCCTGCTCCTTTTTGTTGTTAACCCAGGGAATTGTCAGACTTCATGGTGAAAATGAACCTCCAACTCAACTTTTCATCAAAGTTCAAGAGCTTTAAGATGATTTATACAAAAGTGGAACATACTTGGGACTGAAGGAAGGGGGCTTCCTTGATGTTTTATAGTCTATATTTGACTAGAGGACAAATATCCAAATTAGTGGAAATAAGAAAAGAAGAACTCCATGCTAAGGATGTTACTAAGAAATGTTTTGCCAGGTTACCAGGAAGAGAAAGGAAGAATGAGCCTTGGAATGTTTAGTGATGCTTTAACGCAAAAGGACATTTTGGGGAAACCATGGGCGACATCTCAGAGAGTCACTGCCTAGTAGGGTGAGTAGTTATCCCAATTGTCCTAGGACTGAGAATGCTCCCAGTGCTTAGGACTCCACAGTCTTGACTCAACCTACCAGAATGAGGTGTTTACCCCATCTCCAAGAGACACCAGCATCGTATAGTCCAAATAAGAGCTTTTATCTTTGGAGGTTCTCTTTGCTACTTTGAGTATGCCAGGCAGCTTTCTGTTGCCTGCTAGAAACCTGCTTAATGGAGGAACTACAGTCTCAGGAATATTGTGAGTACAAGGCCAGCCTTGGCTAAATCGTGAGACTGTTTCAAAACAAACAAAAACAAACAAACAAACAAACAAACAAACAAACAAACAAACAAACAGTGAGAAAGAAGAAAGGTTTATCTTGGCTCATAATTCCAAACATTTCTGTGCACGCTGGCTGGCTTCATTGCTTGTAGGCTCGATAGAGCATCACAGCATCAGGAAGGTCAACAGATGGGACTTACTACAGAACAGCCAGAAAATAGAGTGAGGAAGAAGAGACAGGAGAAAAAAAATACATTCTTCAATTGTCAGACCTCAGTGACCTCCTCCAACCAGGCCCTGCCTCATAATAGTCCATTCTGCTACAAACTCATTTACTGATGAGCTTAGCTCTCTCATCATCCAGTTGCTTCTTAGTAGCAGCAGTGGCTGGAAACTAAGCTTTTAATACGGGGGTTTTCTGGGGACATTTCATATCTAAACCACAGCACTGAGTCATCTTGGCCTAGATCATCTGGGACAGGCTTCAAACACTCACTGTTGGGGCCTTCAAGGAGCTGAGGAGTTATAATGCAGAGAGACAGCATGTATGAATGGCAGGGACCTATGTGAGCATAGCTGACCTTTTTATCCTTCTATTTTGGTGAGAGGCAAATTTAAAAACAAAAATGTTACATAATTTAAAATTCAATTTATTTTCATTTGCCTCGACAAAACAAAAACAAATCCAGACTTCAGCTTGCATGTATTGACATGTTCTGTTCTTTTTCAATGTCTCTTTTCCTGGTAAATGATTTAATGCTCACTGAAATGGCTCAGGGTATGAATTAAAAGGATGGCAAGAAGACACATACAGGAAAGAAAGAGAAGAAACCTGAGGGTGAGCAGGTTGATTCCTGACTGTGCCAATACCCAAGAACAAGGCTTAGGTAATCACTCTTGCAGGAGTCAGTTTAGGGGCTGGAAGTGAACTGTACAGGCCTCTGTGTATCTACAGAAGATGCTGAAGATTCACTCGCTGCTGCTGCTGCTGCATTTATAGCCATGGGTAGAGCCTTAGAATATCACCCAGAACTAACATTGCAGTTGCCATCTGCAAACTGAAGTCAGTGAACCCCAAGGTGACACGAACATCAGTGCAAAGTGATCACTGATTGTTCGACTTTATGGAAGGAGACAAAACCAAAAATGAAAAAAAAAATGTAAATTGTCCAAAATCACAAGGAAAGTCTATTAGCTTGTTTTGTTTTTGTTTTTGTTTCCCTCCACCCAACCCCACCCCCCGAGACAGGGTTTCTCTGTGTAGCTTTGTGCCTTTCCTGGAACTCACACTGTAGCCCAGGCTGGCCTCAAACTCACAAAGATCCGCTTGCCTCTGCCTCCCAAGTGCTGGGATTAAAGGCGTGCACCACCATCACCAGGCCCTATTAACTTGGTTTTATTTAATGCTTTTGTTCACCCGGGTGTAGTAACTAACAGTTTAAAGGTGATTCTGAATTACCAAGAAAAGGTCAAATTCATTAGCATATCTTGTTTAGGCTCGGGACGTGGGAGGAGTTTTTTTTAATATATTAGAAAGCATTTCCATCAGACTCGTATTCATAAGCATTCAGTTATCTGAAAACATGACTTGTAGAATGCTTTATTGTTTTAAATATCAATAAAGAGAATATTACATATTGAAAGCAAAATAAAATGAGGAGACCTCAGTGAAATGTAGGCCCTCCGTCTCTCGGCACCAGTGACCCTCGCTGCTGAGAGAGTTGACTTGCAACCTCGATGTATTGTGGACATCAACTGCAGAACAAAGCCGGATCTTGCAAACATTCTATTGTCCTGACTGCTGGCACAGAGCCATCACAAGCTTCAGTGTGGCCCCAAGGGGTGCATATATTAACGAAGAAACAGGAGCCATGCTCCAAAATAGCTTATTTAAAATGCAAAGGGTAACGAGAGAGCTACATTTGGGGAAAGCCCAGCTCTCAGAAACAGAAATGTAATCCTGAATCTTGGTTGAAGTTGCTTGCTCTTGAACTAATTAGTTGGGGATTGAATTCAGCATGAGAAGTCAGAATGTGGGTTATGAGCAAAGAAAAGCAGTGGCTTTTCTTTTAGGTAATAGCCTGGCACTTCAGCATGTAGTAGCAGGCAGCTCATGAGACTCATCCAGTTCAATGATATCATAAAATTATATAAAAAACACCATGGCTGATTTAAACGGGATTGTAGACATGTAATTAGGGCCAGATGCCTGATAAAAGGCAGTTCTATCTACGTTGGTGGTGGTCTCTTTGTAATAAGATATTGACACATTTGTCATTAAGGAAAAATAAAGAAGAGTGAATAATACAGAATTCAGTGGAACAGTAAATAAATACATTCCTACCATGTATGGAATCTGACCCCTACCTAGCATTTATATGCTATTGTTTTCTTTCAAATCTCCTTTGTTTTTCTAAGTTGGAAGGTTTATGGGAAAATTATACATAAAAGAAAGAAGCCAAAGGCTTTAAAAAACGTTACTTGCTTTTATTTTACTTTGTGAGACTTTAGGAAAATTATAGGCTATATAATAAAGTCTTATTTCCTACCAATGGTGTCTCTTACAGGATGTGAGTCCTTGACAGAACATGCCTGCATAGAGCATTATTTTACTTTTTAACAGGCCTGAGCTGGATTTTAGAAGTTCATGCCTAATTAGCTGTGTAAACAAATTTGGAATTTAGGGAATTTTCTATGTCACAGGGGAATTAAGGCTCCCTCCCTTCCTCTCTCCCATTGGTGGATGATCTTACCCACACCCTCAATCCGAAGCCCGCAGCGTCTGAAATGAAGGTTTCCAGTGGCTCTCTCTTGGAGCTGGCACTGCACATCCTCAGTAAATTCTGCTACAGCTTTTGGGTTGAGAAGTGGGAGGGCCATTTTAGAGAAAGTGCTACTGGTCACAAAGTGCCAGGCACATTTCAGCAGAGGGCAACTGGCTTCTCTGGTATTGCTGGGACAAAGCCCAGCCATTATGTAAGATTCCCATGCCCAGATCACTGCCAACCTTGAGGATTCTGAAGATGCCTCCCTAGTCAACTGCAGAATGAAAGGAGTGGCAGAGACGGTGCCAGCTCAAGGGTTTGGAAAGATACGGACTAATTGGGTATGGGTACTCGAGGGCGGGCAGCACACACCTCAGCAGAGAGGAAGAATCCCTGAGAAGTCGGTTGGGCATATGGCAGGTCACCTGCAGGGGCTGCGTCTTCTCTGCCTGCACTTAAATGGCAAGCTCATTTGATGCGGTTCCAGACGCTCCACTGGGTGTTTCTAATCTGGTGTTTTAATTCATATTTTTATTGTACTTCAGCCCAGAGGCTGTTTCAACAGACAGGCATATATTTAGAAGTCTCTGAATAAATAAATGTAAAACAAAGAAAACCGACTCTGCTGGAATTATGAGGATTGTTTCAGACTTGAAAGATTGTGACTGCCTGAAATTGACCCCTCAACAGCATGGCTGGTCTGAAGCCAATTGGGTGTCACAGAGGTCTGGTGTCAGGTACCATTCCACGACTGCTCAGGCTTAAAAGTTTGCTGACTGGGTCTTAAGGTGCTTGGAGACACAAGAATTGTGTCGAGTTTGACATTTCTAAAAATTTAACAAATAAATAGTAGGAAACATTTACTTGGACCTGGGTGGATCTCCTGTTACCAGATAGAAGAGGACATTGGAATGGGCTGGTGTCTATGTCTCACATATTTTTTCTTGAATTTTGCCTTTTCCTTTAAGAGGAATATGCATATCTCTGTAGCACTGGTGTGTGTGTTGTTCATTTACCTGGGTGGGGCTCATGGAGGCCAGAAGGTGACATTTGGAATGTCTTCCTTGGTCACCCTTTACCTTGTATTTTTGAGACAAGGTCTCCTACTGAACCTGGAGTTTTTGCTTAGTGTAAATACCCTATTTGGACTTGGCTGGCTTGCTAGTGAGTCCCCAGCTCCTCCTATCTCAATCTCCAGTGCTGGGATTATAGGTGTCTGTTAGGACAGGCTTTTTACGTGGTACTAGGGACTCAAACTCAGGTCCTCATGCTTTCAAGGGAAGCTCTTTCCTCAGCTTGGTGGGAGCACTGTTGAGTGGATTTAATCCAAATAAGCAGACATCGAGCACCTTTTCACTCAAGGCGGGAGCTAGACTGTATGAGGGGATGGGGTGTTTATAAGCTTTGGGAAATCATCTGTAAGACACATATCTTGCTTTTGAACATGTGCTAAATTTGGAGTAGATGAAAACATACTCTGTTTTTCTTGTCAGAGTCTACAGTGTGTTAACTGCTCTAGTGGTGTTGTCCTTTGAGGACTAGAAAGCTTGTAAAAGCTACTTAAGATCTGTGAAGGCCAGAGTGCCAGCAGATGGCTTGGTGACAGTAAAGGAGGCCTGGCTCTGGGCAGATGAACAAAGTTCTGGAGTCTCATTCTCTGCTGTTACTTTTTAGTTATCCTTCCTTAACAGTGGCACCGATTTGTTCATTGATTTATTCCGTTTTCCACCTCAACTTCAATGGGCCCTAAATTAGCTGTTCTTGGCTCCACTGACTATGGCCTTAAAACACCACTGATACCTGAACCACCACCAAAATCAATGAAAAGTGACAGGGTAGCTGTATGCTACAGCTGAGGCTGAGGCCAAGGCACTGTGTGCTCAATTCCAGGACTCCTCCTCTATATGTAAATGGGCATGTTCATTCATTAGAGGGGACCTGCTTATATGACACTAGTTCCTTGATTTCAAGATGTCACTAGTGTTTAAAGATAAACTATAGGATTAATCACAGCATTTATAATTTTTTAAAAAAATCATCATATTAAAGTACATGCTAATTTTAGATCATGACACAGTTTCAGAAACATTAAAATGTGAAAATAATGTAAATAAACTGTAATCTGTATGTTTCATAAGGCAATTTACATCACAGTAGAGGATTCTTTCAAAATCAAAGCCATGGGCCTGGAGAGATGGTCCAGGGCTTAGGACACTTTCTGCTCTTATAGAGGGCCTGGGGTTTGTTCCCAGTTTCCGTATCGGATGGCTCACAACTGCCTGTAACTCCAGTTCCAGGGCGTCCAAAACCCTCTTCTAGCCTCTGCAGGCACCCCCACACAAGTGGGGCAATGAAATTATTGAGGAACACACACACCCCTTTAAAATCAAAACATTGCAAAAATTTCAAACAATTCAAAATGGGTGTTGTGCTAGGGAAGGGTTCTGCATCCTGGCATGATCGACATTTGTGGCAGGATGGTTCCCTGTAGTGGGTACCTGTGTGTGTGTGTGTGTGTGTGTGTGTGTGTGTGTGTGTGTGTGTGTGTGTGTGTGGTAGGATTTTCAGCAACTTCCTGGGCTCTATTCACTAGATGATGGCAATGTTTATGTCACCCTCACCTTCCACCCAAACAATGACAACCAACAATATTGCCATATCCTGTCAAGTGTGTCCTGGGGGATGATAACATTATCCCTGATCACCTCTGGCTTAGGACTATTTGGGTGGTGGAATAGATGTCTGTGTGGAATCACTCATATCACTAAAGGCTCAATTATATGGAACAGATTCTGCTGTGGCTGGCTTAATTTGAGATGTATTAATGGCAGGGTCTGTGGGCTAAGTAAACAGAAGTCAGAGATGAAATTCCAAGAATGGTTCCTGAAGCAACACCAGGGTTGGGCCATCTACAGAACTACTTGCATTGCTTCTAGGGGCTGGATGCAACTTCTGATGAATGAGACTTGATATGCCATTTGCAGGCAGAAGGATCTCCCAATACCAGCTTCCTTACTCACTGTACTGTTCTGAATTCAAGTTACAAAAGAGTGCTTAATGGTAGAGCCTGATCACAATCAGACCCCAAGGGGAAACTGGAGAAAGGTAGGCTGTAGTTTGCTATTCTCCAAATATAAAAATATCCAGCAAAGCACAGTGGCATACGCCTATAATCCAGGTGCTCTGGTGCAGAGGCAGAAGGTCATGAATCGAGGCCAGCCCAGGGTATAATAGTTTGTCAAAACAAACAAAACAAAACAAACAAACAAAACAAACCCAAAAACAAAGAAAGAAAGATAGAGAGGAAGAGAAAACAAGAGGAAGAGGCTGAAGTGGATTTTGAATGAGTCCATTTTTAGTATTTTCTGCAAGCTTCTTACTGATAGTGAATGCCCTCTTCTGGGTAACTGTTGCTGCCAAAGTGTCCTCCCCATTCCCCATGAACATCTTTTAAAACATTGAAATGAGCTAATTTTCCTTTTGCTTCTCGGTTGCCTAATTTTCTTTCATTGCTATTCTTTCCACACCCCTTCTCTTTCTGCTCCCACATACAGTTTTCCTTGGGATTTGAAAACATACACTTCCTTCGTACTTGGCTGTGTTAAGGCTGTGATGTGAAACATCTCTCTGGTGAGATGTGAGGGGGTCTAGGATGTCAAGCTGTCACTACTGGTGCCTCTGTTCCACTATGGGGATTTGGGGCTGGGATTCAATCTTTGAACAATATTTTTCTGCTTAGAAGAATAGAGTATCAGTTAGTGTAATTACATGATCTGATTTGAAGTAGAAATTTGTAAGTAGCTTCAGTTACAAGCAGGTAAGAATCAAACTACACCTTTTGTCTTTAGAGTTGAGGCCTTCAAATTAAAAAAGTGATTACTCCAATTGAGCTTGGAATAAGCAAAGCTTGCTCACCTGATGTATTTGTTCTTTTACTCATTGCCAAAAATCGGTTAATTACTAATTTGGCTTAGAGTATGGAGACTTTGACTTAGCCAATTTACTTAGGTAAAATATGTCACCTACCCTTTAGTGCAGGGCTTCCACATAAAACATAGGGAAAGTTCAATTTGAATTTCAAATAAACAGTGGCTAGTTTTGATATAGGTATACATTTTAGCATAAGACTGTTCCAATATTGTGTTGACTTATTCTAAGAAAATTTAACTGGATGGCCTGGTAGTCTGGTATGAGTGAGTAACTCTATCAAGAGCCACTCCTCGAGAATCTATTTCTTAAAAGGGACAGAAGATTTAAGAAAATATAGAGAATTTCTCTTGAGAGGAATAAAGATGAGCAAGTTGGGTTATGCATTGAAAGGAAAGGGCAAGCGGAAAAAGCAAGCCCCAGATTGGTTCTGGCTATCGGTGACTGTTCCCTGGGCATGTAAATTGAGTACTGGTGTGAAGACAAAGCTGTGGCTTTTCTGAAAATGTGATCACTTTACTACACCCTTTGGATCTGGTCCCAACACAGCCTTTAATTGCACAGGCTGTCTAAGGAGAACTTGGAGGTAAGCAGAGAGATGAGCAGGACCGGCACCAGATACCTTGGAGCCTTGTAATCTTGCTTACACAACCTCCAGATTGCATGGTTCTTGGCTTCCGTGCAGCTGGGCACAATTTCAATGCACATCTATGGAGACCATGTCACAACAACAAAACAAACCAACGTAGCTGCAAGTTACACTAGCAGCTTGAAAAAGCAAGTCAACAGACATGAGGACTGCTCTGGGAGCCCCTCCCTGGGACTCGGCCTCTGGCCCAAAGGGAGTTACCGTGCCTCCTTTTGGATGTTTAGTCAGCTAGGATTGCTCTATATGACCTGTAGTTTTCTACTTCAAATAGGTTTTTTTGTTTTGTTTTTGTTTTTGTTTTTTTGCTTTATTGTTGACAACATTAGCTCTTCCTGAGGTGCAGAATAGCTCATTGTGCTTGCAAAGTTTTCTATGTGCTCATTTCATTGCTCAGGCATTGTGAACCCACTACATAGGCACATCCATTCATAGGCTTTTACTACTGCTAGTCACAAATGCATTGAACAGATTTTCTGAATGTTCTAACTGCCTTGGTGAGAATGGAGAGTGAGTGAGGAAGAGTTTACATCCTTTGTAGCATCATCTATGACAATTTGTTGGCAAAGTTTCGCTCTTTATAGAAAGCACACTAACATATACAAACCAAGGCTGGTAGTCTCTCCCTTGTTCACTAACCTAAGGACAGACTTCTCCAAGGATGTTAAGTAGGTCAGCAGCCCCAGGGGTGTTTGTGGATTGGGATCTTGCCAATATCAGGAACCTCCTGTGCTCATATATTTTTATTTCTAATTTTTATCAAAGATTTGATTTATGTGCCAGTAATATGAGGGTGTCTGGGTGAACAC